CTTGAGGGTCTGTGCTGACATCCGCACTTTGTCACTGATAGTGTCGGTCTTGCTGGGGATTTGTCAGTTTTACTACTCTTTTCAGAGAACTAGCCTTTGTTTTTACTGACTGTATTTTTTTTCTGATTTCAATTGTATTGAGTTCTGCGCTGCATTATGTTCGTCCTCCAGCTCACCTGGGGTTACTTTGCTCTTTTTTTTCCCCAGCTTTTACATGTGGGAATTTAGATGATTGACTTGATACTTTTTCTAATGTGACATTTGGTGGTAAAATTTCACTCAGAGCAGCTTTAACTGTTCCAGCAAATTCTGATTCTGTTGCATTTTCTTTTTTTTTTTTCCTCTTCTCTTCCCCCCACCCCCGCTAATTTTCACCTGAGAACATGATTATTGATTTTAGGGAGAAGGGAAGGGAGGGAGAAAGAGAGGGAAAGAAACACCGATGCCAGAGAAAAGGGTCAGCTGACCGTCTCCTGCATGCGTGCCGACTGGGGACCAAACCTTCAGCCCAGGCCTGTGCCCTGACCGGGAATCGAACCTGCAGCCCTTTGGTGCTTGGGATGATGCTCCAGCGCTCCGGGCCCCCCAGCCAGGGCCGATCTGTTGAATTTTCATTGTCACTCAGTTTAATGTGTTTCATCCTCTGGATTTTCTTGACCCCTGGATTATTCAGAAGCGTTTTTGCTTAATTTCCAACTGATTGGGGGTTTTCTTGTTGTATTTATGTTGTTAATGTCCAGTTTGATTGGGTCATGTCCTTGGAGTGATTTTGATTCTTTCCATTTCACGGAGTCCGCTCTGTGGCCGGGGACGTGGCCCCTTGTCCGCAGTCTGTGCGTCCTTGATGGGGTGGGGTGAGGGGGGCCGCTCTTCCCAGGGGACTGTTTTGTAGACCCCGACGGCACCGCGGACCTTCTCTCCAGTTTTGGGCATTTTCTCTTTCTTGGTCAGCTGTTAGGGTGGTGCTGGTTCCCCACCGCGATCGTGGGCTCGCCCACTCGCCCCTTCCATTCCGCCGCTTCGTGCCTCCCCCGCCGGCAGCTCTGTTGTTTGGGGCCCAGACTGTAGCAGTGGGTTGGTCACTTTGTCATTGCGTCTCTGTCCTCAGCAGTTTCATTTGATCTGAAGGGTAACTCACCATTATTGCCATAGCCAATGCTACTTTCCTTTCCTTAACAACATAGACATAGAGATACATATAGAGATATAGCCATAGAGCTATAGAGATACGTAGATATGTAACGATTTATCTTTTCCGACCCTTTTACTCTTAGCCTGCCTGTGGTGTTATAGTTGAAGTAGATTTTTTATAAACAGCACACAGTTGAGTTGTGCATTTGTACTTCCTTCTTGTCAACGCCCGTCCTCCTCAATGTATTTAGCCCATTTATATTTAAGGTAATTTTTTATATCTTAAGGCTTAAATTTTACATTTTTATGTTTTGCTCTTATTCTTTGTTTCCTCTGTTATTTCCCTGCATTCCTTTACGTCACCTTGACATTTGAGCAGTCCATTTGGGAGCACGTCCAGTTTTTGAGTGGCGCTCTTGCTGGTCGGTTTAGCGCTGGCCTGGACGCGCCGTGACACACTTGTGCCGTCGTTTACCGTCTGAGTGGCTGTGGGGTGCCTGCCTCCCTCTGTGGCTCTTCCCCGTTATTTATTCTAATCATTTTAAATATTCCCTCGGCATATGTTTAGAAGCATATCAGACAGTATTATCACATTTGCTTCAACTGTCCAACAAAACTTAGGAAACTCAAGAGAAGAAAGCTTATTACGTTTACCCAGATCTTCATCTTCTGTGCCCTCCCTCCCTCCCTTCCTGTCGGGGCCTGCACATCTGGAGAAGTGCATTGAACAGCTCTTCTAGGGAAGGCCTGCTGGTAAAGAAAACCTCTCGTTTTCTGCCCTCATCTGGGACTGCCTCGGTTTGCCGTCATTCCTTCAGGCTGTTTTCCTCGGGACGGCTGGACTGCGGGGCTTTCAGGACCCTGGGAGTGCCGTGCGCGTTCCTGTGGCCGCTGTGGTTTCCGGGGCGCAGTTCTCTCTGCCCCTGGAGTTGCTTCCCTCCTACATGAGGTGCCATTGTTTCCAGGTGCTACTAAGATTTTTTCTTTGCATTTAGCTCTCAGAAGTTTAATTATCATGCATCTTGGAGATCTGGATTTATCCTGTGTGGGGTGCTCAGTTTCTAGAATCTTTAGGTTTCAATCTTTTGGCAAAATTGAGAGGGTTCGCCCATTACGTTTTGGGTTTTTCTAGCACGTTTCCACCCCTGCCCTCTGCCTCCTCTCCTCTGGGGCTTGGATGGCGTCAGTGGTGGGTCTTTGGCTGTAGCCTCACCGTTGTTTTCTCCGGACGATTTTCTCCCTTTGCTGGAATTGGTGTCTTCCATTGCTCTCTGTTCCAGCTCACAGATCCTTCCCTCCGCCCCTCCATCCTTCCGAGGCGTGCATCCACGCAGCTGTTCGTTTCTCTGTTATAATATTTGCATTTGGTTCTTTGTATATTATTCCTGGGCCGAGACTTCCTATTTCCTGTGTTCCAGGCGAGTTCATACTTGTTCACTGGAGGATTTCTGTTAAGGCTGCGGTATAGTCTTTGTCAGGCGGTGCTGACATCTCCGTCACCTCACTGTTGGTGGCTCCTGATTGTCTTTTTCCATTCAGTTTGAGATCTTTCTGGTTCTGGGGATGACAAGGGGTTTTCTGCTGAGACCCAGGCATTTCCGTTCTATCACGAGACTCTGGGTCTCACCGAACCCCGTGTTTTACCTGGCTTTTCCTGGCTCCCCTCTGCGGCGGTGGGGGCGTCTCTCTGTCCTGACCGGTGGGGGCAGACATCCGGGTCCCCCAGTAGACCTCTGCTGATACCCGAGGGGCGGGCTCTTGTCCTTACTGCTGGGCAGGGGCTGCGTGGGGTTTCAGCGCTCCGTGGGGTCCACACCAACACAGCGGTGAGGTTGGGCAGTTACCACCCAGCCGGGACAGAAGTTGGGGTCCCCTCACAGCCCTGCGAGGAGGGATGCCTGGGCGCCCTCTTGGCTTAAGCGGGCCTGCGTGGGCGAGTCTGCGCTTTCCTTGGGGTGTTTGGTGGCAGTAGAGCTCCCTCGTGTGAAATGTGCTCCATGGCTCTTTGCTGGCCCTCTGACTGGAGGGTGGGGGGCACGTGCAGCTGGGGATCCACCTGCACCGGCCGCTGCTCCAGGGTTGCTGGCGGGTCCGGCGCCCAGTGCAGACAACCCGGCCCCTTTCGCTCTGAGGGTCCCGGGTCCCGCCTGCTCTGCCGTCTCCTCTCCCCGCTTCGCAGCCTCCGCTGGCACACTTTCCAGAGTCTTTATTGTGCTCAGTGGGAGGAATACGGGGAAGTCTGTCTTCTCCGAAGTTCTGGAAGCGGGTCCCATCCTGCCGCATGCCTTGGGGAGAGGGGCACAGGGCCACCAGAGCCCCAGTCCCTGCCTCTCCCAGGGAAACTGAGAGAGCTGAGCCCAGGGGTTCAGGGTCCCCTCATACCACCCACACAGACCAGCCATTGTTCTGGAAAGATCCAGCCTTCCCCACCAGCCCCAGGCTTGACATGCCTTGGACTTCTGTGCTCTTTAGATAAAAAATAGTACCAAAATTCTATTACTTAAAATTTTTTTCCATGGGGAGTTTTGTTTGGTTCTTGATTTTTTTTTTTTTTTCTGTTTCCCGATACAGAGTAACATTCAGCCGTCCTTTGGGGAACAAAGCCATTAAAGCTGCTCATTTCCTAAATCCGCAGTGCCAGGGGTTAGCGAAAGTTGCCAGGGTGCTTTCCTGTGAGCGTAGTCCCGGGCGTGGACCAGGGGGTGATTTGCAGTTGCTTTTAGCGAGTGGAATGGACTTGCCCGTTACTTAGAACGTTCAACTCTGAAGTCTGGACAACAGTGACCGTGGGGCCGGGTCCTCCTGCGGCAGCTCATTCTCGAAACCTTGTGTCCCGAGCGGAGCGCACAGAACAGGGGCCGAGGGCGGCCGGCCGGCCTGCTGCATGTTCCCAACAGCGTCTGTGTTGGGCAGCGCCAGCGAGCCCTCCGAGGGTTTAGAACAGTTAGGTCCAACGGTTTGAACCTTGCCATTTGTGAATTTTTAAAAAGTGTTGGATTTGCATTTGAAACAAGTATCCGGGGTGTTCCTGGAGGCGCAGGCATCGCCTGAGCCTCGCTTCCGTCCTGCCCAGAACGCAGGGTCCTCAGAAGTCGGGAGCTCCTTGCACACTCGTGCAGCGCAGAGCCGTCCTGGCGCGAAGGTTTTGATGTGTTTTTGTACAGGGCATAAAAATATATCTCTGTAATTACATGATATTTAGTGATTAGATAATTATGGATAATTGCATGGGGTAGTTCTAAGTGCTAAAGTGTTACCATAAGATCTAAAATGTACAAATTGCTTAATAATTATTCTGGGGAGTTATTTGGTAATTCTGAGCATAATTATCATGTGATCTGCAGTGCATGTAATTAATGCATAATCACACGGATTTCGCCTTCATAACCACTTCGCCCTTGTTATAAATAAGGCTCTTTGTCATAACATTTGAGTATAAATATAATGTAATTGGCTCCCAGACACAGTACATTAAGCTCATGATAATTGCTTTCACAGTAATAATACCCCTTATTTCGTTCCCGGCGTGGGGCTCCGAGCAGGGTGTGGCTGGGGAGCGGGCGTCGCCCAGGGGTGGCGGCGAGCGGGCATCTGGGCACGTTGGCCAGAACTCCCCGTGGAGGAAGGTTTGCGGCTCTTGCCACGGGCAGGGCCTCTGTCCTGACGGGAGCACCGAGCCTGCTTTTCGCAGCCCTTATGTCTGGACTCTCCAAGAGCTGGACCTTGTGGAAGGACGGGGCTCATCCCTAAAGCGCAGGGACAGCAGCCGGGCAGGTTGGCCGTGCTGGGGGCAAGCGCCGACGTGACCCTGAGCAACAGCTTTGGCTCAGCTTCCCCATTAACATGCGGTTTTCGCCACCTCCCTGCAGGTTTCACGTGGCAGGATGACCACACCCAGCACGTGCTGGCCCAGGAGCTGTCACGCCTCCCCAGAGCCCACCTGCGGCGCCCCGGGGCCGCCTACCCCGCCAGGTGAGTCCGCTTGGATCCAGGGTCCTGGCACAAAGCAGCCACCTGCGTCTTGCAGTAGCGGTTTCAGGGAGCCGGGGTGTCCCAGAGGAAGGGGGGCGCTTCCTTTCTCCACTGTGTCCTAGTGCCCCAGTCCCCCCCACCCCCCACCCCAAGCCCCTTGGAGGAGTCCTGCATGTCCAGGACTGGGGTGGAGAGCAGAGAAGTCAAGGGTTCTCATTTCCCAGTGAGAACTTACGTTCACTTTAGTACACAAAGCAGAATTTAATCACACAACTCTTCCCGTTCTCCAAACACAGCAGCCGATACCAGGCCGAATATCCATTCCACACCATCTCATTTCACCCCCACTGCTCACTGCAGGGCGATTGCTGAGGTGTCACCCCATCTTGTAGGAGAGGAAATTGAGCCACAGGGAGGTCGAAACTGAGTCCAGAGACAAACACCGGTGGGCAGCGGGGGCTGTCAGCTCTGAGCCACGTGCTGTGCTCTTCGTGTTTATGAAAAGTGAGAAGGATCCTCCCTAGAGACTGGTTTGGAAAATTTATTTTTTTCCCTGAGACTCTATTGTAAATGCATAGCCTTTGGTTATAAAAGTCTCAGTAACAGAAAAACTGATGCTCACATCGTCCAACGGGAAGTAGCCTAAGCCACCGGGACATTCGCTTCCAAGTCCTACGGGACGGGGTGCGTGGAAACGCGTGAGGATCACGCACACACTGCATACGTGCTCACCACACCAGCTTGCTCGCGATCCAGGCCGAATTTCCCGAGGGCAAGAACTCTGTCTTTGTTTCTTGTGCCCAGTATACCTCCCTTATTGATGTCCATGTGCCACTATAGTCTGTGTGCCTATGTAAGCCTTTTCTGTTTAAAAAGAAAAAAAAAGTCGAGCTGTCTTGAATGAATTTGAACTCTTAACGCTGGTTTTTAAATGGCACTTGGGCACTTGAGCACCAGCCACTTCTTCCTTCTCCGTGAATGTTCATCTGCGTATGGGGCACGTCCAGCAGCCTTGAGCTCCACCAAGAGCAGGGATGGGCTAGGTGGCTCCCAAAGGCTGAAGAACAGAGGGAACACCACACCAGACAGCGGAGGTGCCGCTTGGAAACCCAGCAAAGTGCTGAAGATGGGTGCTGAGTGGGGGGCGCAGAGCCGGGCGCTGAGGGACACCAAGGTCCCATGAGCCCGAAGGTGCCCTTTGCTGAAGCTCCCAAGAGCTGGACGAGACGCCCAGGAGGCAGCTGGGCGGCCGAGATGAGCGGTGACGTCACAGAGGCAGGGGCCGGAGGCTTGGGGTCCGGGTGCTCGTGAGGTTTTGCATGACCAACGACGGCCCGTTAGAATGTGAGGTTAGGATGACGGAGGAAAAGAATGACAACAGGCTCACTGCGTCCGCTTCGCCAAGATTTTTGTTTGTAATTTGTTTATAAAATTCTGTTTATAAGTTGCCAAGATTTTCTTTCTCCAGCAAGTGGGGCGACAGCACAAAGCATCTCACGTTCTCTGGAGCCTGATGGCCAGTGAGCACACTTAGAAAAGGGACCTAAGTGTGAACCATTTCTAACCTTTTTGAAGTAGAACATGGATACTTGCAGAGTTTTGGCCTGCTTCATGCCAGAGGACAGGGCAGACGTCCATCTGCAGGTTAATTGCTGCCACGTCGCTCAGCATAACGCTGGGCACCCACCGCTGGCACCTGTGCACACAGGAAGATGAATGACGTGATTTAAAGGCGCCGTGAAGGGGAGGTTCCATCGGCTCTGGTGAGCAGTTACTGAGAAAAACGGACAAAGTACCAGAAACGTGAACTGACCTCAGTCACACAACGCAGGACGTGAAATCTCATCTGTTGGGAACGGTCAGGGAAATGATAGCCAGGGCTGGAGACACCCGGAGCTGGGGCGCTGTGAGCTGTGCGCCCACGAAGAGCGAGCCAGCGCCACCGGATGGGGCGCTGGAAGCAAAGACGGCATGGCTCCACCCGGGGCGGTCGTCGAGCGCGGCGGGGAGGCGCCTCGGGACCCAGCCTTCACAAAGGGCACACAGACCGCATGCCCGACCTCTGCAGCCTGTCCTGGGGAACCGGGCTTTCCACATGAGAACACTGGCCAGGAGCCGTTCTGCGTGTCGAATGGGACACATCCTCCCAAAATGCCCATGAGTTCCAGACGTGTGTCGATGCCACATTACAGACCTGCGTGTGAGCAAGTAACCGTGTTTGGATGTAAAATACTTGGAACGTTGTTCCCTGGCCACTGAATGTGGATGTGGTTCTTAGCAAACGGGCCATGTGTTGGCTCTACCAGCATCACTGAGCACATGCAGAGCACACACGTGCGCTTAGACACACATACACGCACACACGGGGACATCGCCACGTGATCCCTGCCAGATTCCTCATTCACAGGAATGAAGAGCATCCCCGCGCGTAAAGCCCTGTGCTCACTGCTGGGCTGAGGTGCTGCAGCCAAAGCGGGAACGTCGCGGTCCCTAACCTGGAGAGGGCCCGTGGCGAGCAGAGGGTGGCTGGTGTGACTGCAGGTGCTCGCTGCCTGGCCCGCGACCCCTGGCACCACCTCCTCCAAGGAGATGCATGTGGGTGAGGCTGCAGCAGGCCCAGGAATCCCAGCTCCAGACCAGAAGCAAGTCCAGCTTCAGCGACACTTAGCGCTGGCATCATGGTGTTACCAGGCCGCCCCCTTACTGTAAAATAGGGGTGGGGTGCCTACTTCTGAGGTTGCGGGGGGCGTCTGGACAGATGACTTCCAGGGGCGGGCCTCCAGACCCCGGCCAGTGGCGCCCAGGGAGCTGGGTCTCAGCTGGGTTCTTGGAAGACGGGCGTGGTGACGCTGGAGCTGCTGTGGGAAGTTTACAGGACGCTTTGTCCTGGGAGGACGACCTGCGGAGTGTGCGGGGGCGGGGCGGTCACTGGAGGAGGGGGCGGGACTCCGCGCGGCGGTAACGAAGGCCCCGGGGCCCCTGACCCTTCCCGGGGGCTCGGGCTGGTATCATCTTCAGAGGCGACCCCGCCCACAGTGCCCACAGGGCTCTCGCCAGACAGACCCCGCCGCCGCCGCTGTGTCTTCTTGCCGCAGTGAGGAGGCCCCGCCTGACTGACCTGGGATGGCCCCCGGGGTCCCGGGCTGCACAGGGCCTGGACGGGGAGCCCCATGCCTTCCCGGGGGCCGGGCTACTGCAGCCCCTGAAGGCCGTGCCCCTGTTTCCTGAGTTCACGCGCCTTCCCAGGCCTCCGCTTTGCAGGGGCAGCTGGACTCCCGTCCCTGCCCATCAAAACGCCCCATGTCCTGGAATCATCACAGAACTTTGTCGTTTGGTATTCTTGTAAATAAAAGTGAAAATCAGATTGTTGCTTAAAAGTCCACTCTCAAACAAGCCCGGGTCCTGCCCCTGCGCCCACTTTTCCTGAGCCCCATGCTGATATGCCGGCATGGCACCTCCTCGTGGCTGTCAGGATGCTCGCTTGACCCCCAGGGCACTTCTGGGAGGTGACACAAAAGTGTAAATTTTAAACACAGTATTTGCTTACATGAAGATGGAGTGCGTTTAGGATGCGAACCCCCTCCCCAACCACGTCTGGCTGTGTAACTGTCCGGGGACAATTACTCATAATTTCGCGTTATCCTGAGCTCAGCCGCAGCCTTTCATGTGCACTCTGTGGAGAGCCCAGGGGAGGTGACGGGCAGGTGGCAGGAAGCGTGTGCACGTCTCTGCGTAGGCAGTGCGGCCGCGGGCGAGAACGGAGGCTGCCGCGCTTTTCTACACCTTACAAAGCGCATTTCCCTAAAAAAGGGAGGAAGGCTTTTTCTTTCAAAGAAGTCCATAGTTTTCATCACTATTGGGGGATGTTTCCACAATGATAATTCTGTTACCCTAAATTCACTTTCAGTGATAATAGTGTTTACAGTTCCCAGAGATGTTTACTAGTGGCAGAAAAAGTGTCACTTGACAGGTTACCAAAGGGAAGTGCTAGCGTTTTGCGCTAACTCAACTTTACCCCAGAATTTCGTGGATCAGCTAAGTGCATTTATTCAGTCAACACACATTTTTTCCAGCATCTACAGTGAGTCAGGCTCTGTTATAAATCCCAGGGTTGGAGCTCAAACAGGGAAAATGCAGAAAACTGGGGTCCCTTCCCTCTGGCAGTCCACACACTGGCAAAGGGGTGCCCAGCAAAAGAGAACGCATGTTTGCATAAAGAAGGCAATTTCAGCTAGTGACAAATGCTGACAGGAAATAAACCAGGAGGGCCCGATCCACAGTGCCCGGGGCAGCACTCAGATTGGGCGGCCGGGCGGGGCGGGGGGCACCTCGGGCTACGGTGTGGTCAACAAGGGAACCAGCACATGGTTGGTGTTCCTAGCAGTGAGCGGACTCCTTTTCCCAAAGATGTCAGTGGACACGAGGTGGGTGAGTTCGTCGTGAATCCACAGGCCTGTGGCTTAGCGGCCCGTTGGCAGAATGGTGCTGTCACTCACGGAGACGGGGGGGTGCGGAGAGACTCGGACTCGGCCAGGGAGAGCTGCTGGCCACACGCCTGGTCCTGGCAGGGCTGCGAGGCCGCCCCACGTGCCTGTCCCCCAGCCCAGCCAGGTGGCTGACCAACCCCAGCGCGTGCGGCTGGTTCACGCGCTTGTTTCCTTTTCAGGAGCTTAAAGCCAAACACCGACAACGAAAGGAGGCACCGTCTGGAGAGTGACCTCGCGCTGGCCAAGGCCCTTCAGCGCTACCTGCCGTACCTGGAGGTCCTGTCTCAGGCCACCGCCCCAGATGAGCTCCCCAGGACACAGCAGGATGGACGGCCAGCTCAGGTGACCTTCGCAGCTCACCCTGCAACCTGGTTTGCGGCTCACCTGCGGTCGGGGGGGGTCTCTGAAGGGCAGACACAGGGAATGTTTCCTGAGTCTTCGGCAGCATCTCTCGGTTTTCCTCCTGTGCTCCATCCAGGCTGGGGGGGCGGTACAGTAAGGGGCAGGGGCACATGCAGAGAAGTGTCCCTGAGTCCTTGTAGGATGATGCCCCAAGTCCAGCAGTGGCTGCCCAGCTGCCACCGCCCTTGATGCTGAGCCCCTCTGTGCTACCTGCGGCCCCCGGGGCAGGTCCTCATGGTGTCTTCCATGGGGCGGGCCCAGAGCTGAGATGCCCACCGCTCACCCTGCAGACAGGGCATCGGGAGGCAGCACAGATCATGGGTCCCACCCTTTAGGAAGGACCTGGGACAGCAGCAGACGCTCAATTGCAGGGGAGGACAGCAGGGACCCTGACTTTGGCTGGAACTAGCTGACACAGGGTGACCAGCTGTCCCGGCTGTCAAGGCCTGTCCTGGAGGGAACCCCGCAAGTCCCGTGTCCCAGAAACCTCCCCTTCATGGCACACCTGCCCTCGGCGGGCATCCTGAGTGGGCGCCGGGTCTGGGCACTACCTGTGCCGGTCCTCGGGCAGGAGTTCGCTTCAGGTCAGCGCTGAACCTGCCCTGGGCCTGTTCCGGGGTGTGAAGCACATTCAAGGGCATTTTAAAGAGACCATTAGAAATCACAGTGAACTTTCAAATGGGAAATTACCCGCTTTTTTTATGACAACCCGTTACACTGCGGTTCCCAGGTTGAACTGGCTGGATTAGAGTGACCTTCGGAGCAGATGACTGTGCCACACCCTGAGGGCAGGACTGTGGGCAGAGCACGAAGCCCAGGGTGGTCCCGGGGGGCGCGGTATTCACAGCGCTGCTCACACTTCCCTCTTCCTGAACGGTGGTCACGTCGCCTGGCATGTGACCGGTGATACCTGCTGGTGAGGGGGGTAAGCCCAGCCGTGTTCCGCTTGCTCTTCAGCTCCACTAGTTTCATGAGAAGAGGCTGTGGTCTTGGAAACACGTGGGAGGCAGCTGGGCCACTTTCCTGTTACGAACATGCTGAGATTATTTGCACCAACGTGGGCTGGTATTTTGGGCAATGCACACACACAAAGCTCATGCCCTGGATCAGGCCTCAGAGCGACTGGGGTCTGCATGAACTGTGGCAGGTACAGCAGAACCAGGCACATGTCTTCCAAGAGTTGCGCCCCCCAAGGTGAGGCCATGTGAGGTGTGGGCTCAATTAAGAAGCCAGGCCACTCCCGTAGCTTAGGATCCTGCAGCAGAGAAAGGACGCCTGCTGCCCAGCTGCTATCTGGGAGCCTGCATGCCACCTCCTGCCTCCTCGCCATCCAGCCTCATGTGATGAGGACGACCTGCACAATGATGCGGGAACTTGGAGTCTCATGAAGAGTCCCCAGCTGGCCCCAGGTCATGCTAAACAGGCTGCAGGACCAGGGCCAGCATCAGCACCTCTGTGTCTGTATTTGCTCCAGAAGAGGGGCGGTGGCCACACGGTTCCCTACAGCATCTGGGCGTTGGGGGCAGAGCCCGATTCTCAGAACCCACCAGACGGGGACGGCGGGGCCTTGGTCCTCACAGATGTGCAGGCGCAGGGCGCTGGGCCCTGGAAGGAGACAGCAGGTGGACCAGGGAGGGTCCTACCCCGCATGTCACGCAAGGTCCCTGTAACTTGGATTGTGGGCCAGACTGAAGGCTGCGTCTCAAAGCCTTCCACATGAACTGTCAGTCAGCAGGCTTCTCAGCAGGGGCCTTGACTCTGATGGAGCCAGGCCACTGAACACCGGTTCTAAATGTTCCTCACTGATGTGGCCTGAGCGCTTTCTGTGAGCCAGACGCCCAGCGAGGTGCTGTGGGGTGAATGGCCAGCTTGACCTGGGGGGTCAGCGACGGGGGGATGTGCTGGGAGAGGCCGGACACTCTGGAGGTGGCGGAGTTGCTCAGCCTCTCTGTCCTGCTGCGTCCTCGCTGTAAAACAGGGCAGTGACGGTCACCAAGTGTTTCTCAGGGTCAAGCAAGAAACACAAGAAAGTTCACAGCCAGCGGGGTCAGTCAGCAGTCATCGTCATTATTATTATTAATGGGCCATCTTTTAAACACAAAATGAGAATTGGATCAGGAGTCTGAAAACCACCTCCTGCACTGTTCATGGCGGCCTCGACTCTACCAAGGAAAATCAGAGGAGAGCAGGCGTGCTTGCGCAACAGATTACTCCATATACCAGGCGCCTCTGCCGCGGCCGCCCTCTGGCCCTGATGCCGCACAGTAGAGGTTTTGTCTGTTTACACCACAGGGCAGTGGAAAAGCAACATTTCTCCCAGGTCTCTTGAACGTTGGCGATTTAAGTACATACAAATAGGGAATCATTCTTTGTCTTCCCCTTCGTCCCTTGTTGTGTCTCTACCAAGAGGGATGTAAAGCTTCGTGCTTGGTCTCGGCTGCTGCTGTGGGATTTCTTTTGTAATGGAGACATCGCATCACGTCCCTGGGCGTTAGACACGAGTAATCGATAAAGATAAACCTGTGTGTGGTCCAGAGACCGTTTTAGTGATGGAGGAGGGAAGGGGGGAGAGTTGTTAAAAGTTCCCCAGACTCAGAAGAAGTCAGAACAAGAGGAAGTGAGTTCAAATTTCTCTGTGGAGCAGGTTGGCCTCCACACCACGACCGTGACTGGGGCACAAACAGGCTCGGCCTGGTGCCCTCTTTCTTGTCTCCAGAAACGGGTGGGGCAGCGGAGGCCATTGCCATGTCATGTTTCTCTTTCAGGTTTGGTTATTTTATGAACTTCACCCTCATACTGGAACGAAAAAGTTAAATTTAGACTACACGTTGCTCCCTGGACAAGGAGTGGCATGAAATTCATCTCCTCCTCGGACAAGGAGGGGTACACAATGGGGCCCCTCAAGTTTTTGCCTTTTCTCCTGCCACTCGCCCCTGACACAAGTGGGGCCAGGCCAGGAGGAGCCGGGCGGCTGCAAGCAGCTCCCTGGGAGACGGGCAGACATGCTGCTTTTTACAGCCAGACCCTCAGGCCGGTAAAAGTCCCGCTGGAGCCACAGCAGCCAGTGCTTGTTGGGGTGGGGGCCATGGGCTTGTCTCCTCCTCAGGGCAGGGCCTTCCCAGCCGTGACCCGGGTGCATTATGATTCTGTCACCGGGGTCCTCCTCTGCTGTGGAAAAAGCGTGCCTGGTGTCTTTACCCGGGACATCCAGCCCTTCACGAGCTTACGACGGGTGGGGGCTGAGCTGGTGGGTGTGGTCCCCTGGCCCTGAGGCCACCCCGGTGGCACGTGGGAAGGGTCCGCGTCCGCTTGCTCTCACCTGACCAGCGCTTCCCTTCAGGAGAGGCAGCGGGAAGGGGCTGGCACGGGGCCGTCACACATCCCATCTGCCGCCCCCTGCCGCATTGTCCCGGGTCTGGCCTCTGTGACCCCTGGCGCTCACACTGTGGGAGAACCGCGTAGCGTATCAGCCAGGACAGTGCGGTTTGTGCCTGTTGTCCCCTCACAATTACTAGCATGCCACCTTTTCCCTCTCAAAAATGCCCGGTGTGGATAACGAGTTCCGTGGTCATTCCATCCCAGCGGTCACAGGTTATTGAGAAAATGAGCACTTGGTGGCATTTTTGGCTCGGGGTTTTCCCTCTGTGTTAAGACAGATGCTTCTCAGCACTAGAAACTCATGGGAACCTAGAACTCGTTCTTTTCTCGGTCCTGTCTTTGAGGGAAGGGCATGCCCCTCATCTTCTCTCTGATGAACAGAGACTGGGTGGAGTGTGGGAAGCAATCATGTGATGTGACCGCCAACGCCAGCACCGTGAGGTCGCTGCTGCCTGAACCCTGGGCTGTGTTGCTGATCCCCTCCGCTGATGGCAAACCTCCCTTGGAAATTTAAGCTCTGTGCACTGATGGCCTTTCCGGGGGCAACCAATTCCCAACAGATAATTTTATAAATCACCTGGATGCCAATTGCTTCAGGACGGACCCAGAGGGAGTGGATCCATCCTCCTAAACCGACTTGCTTGAAGCCCAGGGCCTTCGCCCAGCACTCACTGATCAGTAAATCAGAGCAGTTATTCCTCCTGTCCTGTGAGTCGTGGGGACTGGCTCCTGCTTTCATCGACCATAGAGGTGCTGGCTCAGCCCGTGGGATTGTTGGAGGTAACCCTGTAACCCCACTTAGTCCGCGCGGTCGAGGAGGTTCAAACAGAAATCCATCACTCGGCAATGTCGTGAATTAACTGATTTATTTTGGAAACATTGAAGCATTTTTTGTGTGCAGGGAACTGTGCTGGGCAGGGAGGCTGCCCAGAGGGCGGACCCTGGAGACCCAGCGGGTAGCCACTGGGGGAGGAGGCTTAGATGGGAACTTAAATTGCAGACTATCCAGAGACAACCCCAATGCCACCGCGGTAGCAGGAATAAGCCAGGCGAGCTACTGAATCAAAGCTCGGAAAGATAACAAACGTCAGAGAGCTGAGACTGCAAAGGAACCTGAACGCACTCAATTCAGGGATGACCTCATATCAGGGGTCAAGAGACCAGGGCCACGTTCACACAGGCGGGAACAGCGGAGGGGACCCGGCATGAGAGGGAACAGGAGGAAGGCAGCCTGAACGGTAGGAACTGCCGACAACGTGTGGACCCCAACATGTGGGGCCAAGTCCGCAGGGACCTGCTGCCAGAGCCCCGAAATAGTCCATGGGTGGGGGCAGGCGCAGGAAGGGGCGGGAGTGGGAGAAATCGCCCCAAGGGAATCCAGGGCTTTTGAGCAACCCCCGTTGCCCTCTGAAGGCCCAGGATAAGACAGCGCGAGAAAGTCTGTCATGAAAGGTGCAGGAAGGTGGGCTGAAGAGGGAACCCACAAAATGGCATTGGTCTGTAAATCAGAGCAAGAGCACCCGCGGGTCAGGCCCAACAGCACCTGCACAACAGCGTGATCC